GAAAGAATAGATGATCTCAATCTGAACTTCAACAAAGAGATATAAAAAAGAACAGAAACTATAAAAAAGAACTAGTCAGAAATGAAGAATACAATAACTAAAATGAAGCATTCACTAGAAGAAATCAACAGCAGATTAGATGAAGCAAATAATTGAGTCAGTGATTTGAAATGCAAGGTAGCAAATACAAACACCTGATCAAAACAGCAAAAAAAAAAAATTTTTTTTTTTAAATAAGGATAGTTTAAGGGACTTCTGGGACAAGATCAAGCACCACAACATTTGCATCATATAGGTAACTGAAAGAGAAGAGCGAGAGCTAAAGATTGAGAACCTGTTTGAAGAAATGATCACTGAAAACTTCCCTAATCTAGCAAAGGAAATAGACATACAAGCACAGAGTCCCAAACAAGATGAACCCAAACAGGCACATACCAGTTAAAATCCAAACATTGAAGACAAAAAGAGAATCCTTAAAGCAGCAAGAGAAAGGCAACTAGTTACTGACATGGGAGCTTCCATAAGACTGTCAGCTGATTTCTCAACAGAAACTTTGTAGGCCAGAGGGATTGGCATGAAATATCAAAGTCATGGAAAGTAAGGATACCTACAACCAAGACTACTCTACCCAGCAAGGCTATCAAAATCGAAGGTGCAATAAAGAGCTTCCCAGACAGGGAAAAGTTAAAGGAGTTCATCACCACCAAGCCAGTATTAAAAGAAATGTTAAAGGGACTTCTTTATGAAGAAGAAAAAAGAACATAAATATGAATAATAAAGTGGCAATAACTATGTACCTACCAATAAACACTGTAAATGTAAATGGATTAAATGCTCCAATCAAAAGATACAGTGGCTGAATGGATAAGAAAACAAGACCCTTACATATGGTGCCTACCAGAGACACATTTCAGATCAAAAGACATGAAAAGAATGAAAGTAAAGAGATAGGAAAAGACACATTGCAAAAATGGAAATTAAAAAAAAAAAAAAAAGCTTGGGTAGCAATACTTATACCAGACAAAACAGACTTTGAAACAAATACTATAACAAGAGACAAAGAAGGACCTAGGAATCTCATGTCTGTGTATTTATCCAAAGACACACAAAACACTACATTGAAGGGACATGTGACTCATATGTTCATGCAACATTATTTACAATAGCCAAGATATGGAGGCCACCTGGGTGTCCATCAGTAAATGAGTGGATAAAAAGGTGGTACATATACACAATGAACTATTACTCTGCCATAAAAAAAGAATGAAATCTTGCCATCTGCAACAACACGGGTGGACCTAGAGGGTACTGTGCTGAGTAGAGAAGTCAGACAGAGAAAGACAAATGCCATATAATTTCACTTACAACAAACTCATAGAAACAGAGAACATTTTGATGGTTTGCAGTTAAAAAGGAGTTGAAGATAAAGAGACGGATTAAAAAGTACAAATTGATCATTTCAAAATAGTCATGGGGATGTAAACTGCACCATAAGGAATATAGCCAATAATATTGTAATAACTAACTATGGTATCAGATGGGTACTAGATTTAATGGGGTGATCACTTCATAAGTTACAAAAAAAAGTCTAATCACCTGTTGTGCAATTGTATGCCAGCTGTAATTGAAAAATTAAAAAAATATTTAAAAAAAAAGAGCTTCCCATACAGAGAAAAGCAAAGGAATGCATCACCACCAAGCCAATATTACAAGAAATATTAAAGGGACTTCTATAAGAAGAACAGAAAATACATATAAAAATAATAAAATGGCAATAACTATGTACTTATCAATAATCACTTTAAATGTAAACAGATTAAATACTCCAATTGAAAAACTGACTGGTAGCTGAATGGATAAGAAAATGAGACCCATACATATGCTGCCTACAAGAGACCCATTTTAAGTCAAAAGACACTCACAGACTAAAAGTAAAGGAATAAAAAAAGCTATTTCATGCAAATGGAAATTAAAAAGGAGCTGGGATAGCAATACTTATATCAGACAAAATAGACTTTAAAATAAAGACTATAATAAAAGACAAAGAAAGACATTACATAATGATAAAGGGATAAACACAAGAGAATATAAACCTAGTATACATTTATGAACCCAAAATAAAAGCATTCAAACATATAAAGCAAATACTGAGCAACAGAAGTGAGAGTTCAACAGTAATGCAGTCATAATGGGGATTTTAACACCCCATTGACACCAGTGGACAGATCTTCCAGACAGAAAATCAACAAACAGTGGCCTTAAATGTCACACTAGATCAGATGGATTTAACTGATATTTTTTGAGCATTTCACCCCAAAGCAGCATAATTTACATTCTACTCAAGTGCAAATGGACATTGTCCAAGACAGACAACATGTTAGGCCACAAAACAAGTCTCAATAAATTAAAAAGACTGCAATCACATGAGCATCTTTTCTGAACAC